TTATACAAATGTAAATACATACATATGTATACGGTAATAAAACCTTTTCAAGCGATTGCACAATTTTATTATAACAATTTTATATGTATTTTCACTATGTTTCGCTACCATAACATTCGAAAGCTATATAACATGACTCTTAATTCCATCTACCACAATTATTTATAATTAAATTTTAATTCACAAAAATTATCATTTATTTCTGTCATTATTATTTAACTGCGTATATTTAATAAGTACATAAATACATACATATATTCACCAATAATAATTGAGGTTTTTTCAATTGTTTTCATACTGTGTAGGCTGTGATATGATAGTTTATCCATCAGCCTTCTGTATTTGCCAAGGTCCTATGCACTGGGAACTTTTGCAACGTTCACGTGCCAACGATAATCAACTATTTGTCGTCACTTGCTCTCCCTCACGCAACAATATGTCCGGTTATGTTGCATACGGTCATTCCATGATTGTCGATCCATGGGGCCGTGTACAACGTGAAGCTGGTATTATGCGTGAAATAGTTATTGATGAACTTGGTAAGTGCTAAAGAGTGTCAATCTATTTGTGTTTGTCCAAGCAGACACTTTATTAAATTAAATCTTTTCCAAATAATTTATTTCATGCATATTCTCTTGCAGATTTCCAAATGGTCGATGATGTTCGCCGTCAATTGCCTTTGTTTGGTCAACGCCGCACTGATATGTACAACACAAATATCATAAAGCAATAATTATTTGCGGCTTGACAAGTTCATATTATTGCAGTTGATGATAAAAATGTTCGCTGATGGAAGTTGTTTTATATTGTTTTCTTGTTGTATTTATATAAAAGTTATTGTTTTATTAATGGAAATAAAAAAAATTTAATGTAATGTTTTTGTTCAATTAGCTCTTTTTATAATTCCTCTATAGTGGTAATCGACTATCAATATTTTAGTAATAAATAGTGTAAAGAATACAGGCCTACTGCAAAAATGTTTAAAATTGGGTTTTTATATGGATATTGTGTTAAGTAAACCATTGTTAACTTTAATAGCCGTTTATGAAGAAGGCGGTATTTGTTTTTTCATTACTTAATATAAAAATAATAAAAACAAGTAAGAATTTATAGTCGAGCATGACCGACCATATGATACTCTACACTAGTGATTATGTAACAAATTTTCATTATTATACCCTACACAACTTTAGTGGGGAGGGTATATTGGGTTTGTGCTGATGTTTATAACGCACAATAAAGTATACCTATACCCACCTTAAAGTATACCAATCGGCTTATGATTGATTACATGTAAACCTTGTAATCAAACTACAGGTCGCAATTTTGAAATTGAAAAAAATTTGGTACATGATCTTCTATTGTCACAGGGACGAAGTCTATTGAAAATGGTTAAGATGGGTCCATTATTTCACCTAGCCCCCATACAACTGAACCTCCGAATAGGGCTTGTAAACCTTGTAATCAAACTACAGGTCGCAATTTTAAAGATAATTCAATGAAATTTGGCACACGGTATTCTATGGTATCAGAAAAGAAGAGTATTAAAAATGGTTAACATAGGTCCATTATTTCACCTAGCCCCCATACAACTGAACCCCCGAATAGGGCTTGTAAACCTTATAATCATATTGAAATTTGGCACATGATCTTCTATGGTGCCGAAGATGAAGCCTATTGAAAATGGTTAACGTCGATCGATTATTTCACCTAGCCCACATACAACTGAACCCACCGAATAAGGCTCTTAAGTTCATAATTATGTTTAATATACTCGTATCCCGACAAAAAGCTGCAAAACCAAGTTCACTACTAGCCTTGATAACTCTCAAAAATTTCATAGTTATAGGGTCTTATTTGACCATAGCCCCTATACAAAGCCCCCTTCAAAATTTGACTTAAAAGTCCACAATTTTATTCAACAATAAATGGCTTAAGTATATCTGAGACAAGGTACAATTCAACTTAAATGCTTTATTATGAAAACTAAATCACATTTTAATTTTGTAACAGGTGTAGGGTATTATATGGTCGCCCTTGCCCGACTATAATTTCTTACTTGTTTTTTTAATAATAATGTATTTAATTTCATTTTTACCTTAATTCAGAAATATTTTAACAATTTGTTTACAAAAAAGGGATTTTCTAAATGAGGGGTTATATGGAGAAGTATTAACGCTTACCTCAGCTATTTATGCAAAATATCATCTTGATATTAGCGTTTATAAGTAAATTTGGATCATCAAGTCATTTTCTGAAGCGGACTTAGTATGGAGGATAAGGTCAAATAAGGCCAGATCATTAAGTTTTACCAATTTTTGGAGTGATACAAGAACATTTAACATATTTATGAGCTCAAAAGCCCTATACGGGGAGTACGGTTGTATGGGAGCTATACGAAATAATTGACAGATTTGTGCTTCGTCCTTGGATCAAAAGAAAAGTTTGTGCCAAATTTCATTCAATATTTACATGGACACACAGACGGACGGATAGACAAACAGACAGACGGACATAGATAAATCGGCTAAGAAAGTGATTTTGAGCGGAATGGTATACACAGAGAAAACAGATTCGTTGTCGCAACCGAATTTGTTTCCAATCGAATTTGGTCGGTTACAACAACTACCACATAAATTGGTTGCAATTACCGAATATTTCATTTGTTAAATCTATGTTTTTAGAACACAGGTAAGTTGTTACTACCGAATTATCGATTGAAGTCATTGAATGAGTAGTCATTATACCTACTTATTTAAAAAAACAATTCGGTTATGGGGACCGAAACTATCAATATCAGCAACCAATAAAATTAAACGTATTGTTTCATATTTATTTGAAAAATTGTTTATTATTTTTACATTAATTTTAAATTCAAACCTACGTTCCTATACGTTCATAAATGCATTAATAGCGCAAAACTGTAATATTTTAAATATAACGTTCTATACACTATTTTCTGTTACATATTCTACTAATTCAGAAAACTTAATGCATTTAGGAACGTATTTACATATTTTTTGGTTTACGTCTATATTTCTATTAAAAAGAAACAAAGTAAAATATTTAAAGTAATCACGGGCCAAAGGAACAAAAGCCTTCTTTTGACCATCGATGTAATTGATGATATTTTAAGCGTCAATGCGATTTCTGGCTGGTATAAATATCCCTGAGTAGAATTTCAATGTCTTAGGTCTGCGGAAATATACGTTTGTTGATATTATTTGTCTAAGCCTTATAGCAAAGCTACAGCTTTAACCTTTGAGGTACCCTTTTGTACTTTCGAGCCAGATTTGGTAGCAACGTCCTTGTCTTTGAGGAGAGGGCCGCATCCTTGGTTTTAACTTAGCCTTAGAGGCAACTTTCTGGGTAGGAGCGGCCGGTTTTTTAGCTAGAGACGGCCTTGCTGTAGTTTCCTCTTTGCCACCAGCAGCGGAAGTAGAAGCCGAAGCCTTCTTCTCTTGATTCTTATCACCAGGCTTGGCAGCGGATTTTTCGGTTGGCATTCTGTAATTAAATGTATAATGCTTATTTTATATTATTTAAATACACGGAAACAGTTTCATTTACTTACAATTTTTATTAAAAATCTGCAAAAACTTCTAATTTTTTTAAATTTTTTTTTTTATTTTTAAATGTCTGTTCTTTTTTATTTCGTTTTTATTAATTTAGTACTAAATATTTTTAAATGTCAAGTAAACATAATCATTTGTATATTGAATTCGGTTGGAAATACCGAATTAGATTTTATTGTAATAAATATCGAATTTTTCGGTTGGAAATACAGAATTATTCTTTATTTTATCAAGATAACTGAACTTTCTATACTTTTAATTGAATTATTTTAATATCATAACTAAAAACACATTTTTGGCATTAATAAAGAGATGTAAACAAAATTTCGATTATAAGTACTGATATTTACAGTAGTAGCAAATAATTATAAATTTAATTCGATCTTGCTAAAAGACATAATTGAAATAACCGTTTATAAAGCTCAAGTTGGATAGATTAACTGAAATAGTAGTTAGGCGAACCATAGTTCGATTACACTTTTGGTTTTTCAATTGTAATTATATAAAATATGTTAAATGTACTGTTTTTTAATGACTACAAGTAATATTCTTTCATAGTGAACAAAAAATTGTAACTGTGACCGATTTCCAACCAATCTTTTTCCTGTATGTACTTTTTCTAATACAAACATAAGCACAAATGGATGCAAATCATATGCATTTCCAGGTTTGCTGATAAAAAATCTTTATTTAGAAATTTTATATTGTTGTTATTCAATATTAAACCAGGTCCTTTAATATAGAAGTGTTAAAATGTGGCACTAACAGAAAAATTATTAAATTTTCGAAGAATATTTTCAACTTTGTTTACTATTAAATCACAATTTCCATTAGTAACCTATATTTACTTAGTTTCAAATTGATATTGTCAGTTGTTTAGAACTACACTTTCGCACTTCATCCAATCAGTACGTTTCCTTATAATGGCGTACATTTCATTAATAGTGTATATATACATACATATATATGTATATCTCCTACAAAGACTATAGAATTTCACTTGTTTTTTCCACAGAAATGTGAAAATAATTGCTTTTCCCAATAGCTCCCCACAACTGCTAGCAAACTCAATACAAGCACTCGGCGAATAATACTTCGTAACCATAGAAATGCAATATTGATAAAACATACAAAATTTACAAAGGAAAAAATGCGATACTTTTTGTTGATGCTGTTACACTATTGTAGATATTGTAGTCGCAATAGTTGTTAGCAATTATCAACTGCAACAGAAAGAATGTACATTCTCAAAGGAATCCAAATGCAATGCAGCAACCAAAAGAAGAGCAAACCAGAAAAAAAGTAAACTACTACATGCAACAAAAGAATAAATACCATCAATAAAAAGTGCAAAAGAAACAAAATCATCAGCAACATCGTCATCATCTCCGCAGCACCTTCATATTTTCAACCAAAACATCAATGATGAAGAATGAAGAAAAAGACACTTTTACATCAACAAACGATAAGGAACCAACAAAGTTAACTGAAGACAACAGCAGCAACAAAGATATTGGCGATATTAAAAATGAATTTAATGTAAGAATTTTAAAAGAAACAAATAATAGTATTACGCTGGAATGGAATTTAATTTCTGAAACAGATGTGTATGAAATTGAAGTGCATCATAAAGTCAAAGGATGGCAAAATGTTGATTGGTAAGTAGAAACAAGAAGTAAAAAACTTAATATTTATTTGTGCAAATTTCTTTGGCAATATTTAAATTTAAACCATAAGACCGTTTCTCTTTACTTTTCTAATAAGGACTAGTAAATGTTTAACCACAGTTACAAACTTAGACGAAAATTTTGGTTATATATTACGAGTTAAGGCTTTAAAATTAAATGCTGCCGAAGGTGCTTATAGACCATTAAAAATTTCACCTAATATTGTTGTAAGTAAGCTAACAGCTGAACCATTATAATTAATCCCAAAATCTCTATTTCTTGCTGCTGTTTTTGTTTTCATCTACCGCAGGGCTGCACTTTGGCGGCTGAACCAACTGCAATTTGTCTTTTTCGTGCCATTAAAAAAGACCAACAATTTTTGGTTAAACGTATTTTACGTCATCGTCCTATTTTAATTGAATATCCAGGACCAAATGGTTACTTGCCTTTAGCTAATGCTATTGCGTTTAGTGAAATGTGTATTGTTGATGTGATACTTACGTACGGGGCTAGTGTCCATGTTGGAAATACAAATAATAAACGTACACCATTGCATGTAAGTATGTTTATGAATCAGTGATTCAGAAATTCACTCGATATTCCATTTGATTTTAAAAACTTAATAATTCATTCTAATGTTAATTACTTAAGGCGAAAAGATATTTTGTCGTTTAACGATTAAATACATTTTGATCATTTATCACAAAAGTGGCATATCTCAAAAAAACACAGTTTTATGAAAATCTTTTACATAATTTTGTTATGTAGCAAAAAACGTTCAAAAAAGCAAGAGAGTTTAAAATTAAAACCAGTTGTACGTTTTCTAAAAATTTGTATGTTGGACTTCAACTAAATTATTATTTGTAATCTATATTTAGAAAATAATATAGTAGACACTAGTGTGTCCTCCCGTGGATCACTTTTTTGGAGGAATACCTCTCAAACGATGCTTTTGAATGAACTAAATACGAGAAAAATAAAACAATTTTTTGAAAAGGTCCTCAGTTCCCTACCTGCTATTGAAAATCTTGATCTCAGTACAATGTGGTCAAACAAAATTTTTTCTGCAATCTTTTCGAAATGGGTCTCAAAAATTCCGTAATTTTGAGCTTATTGTAGGAATTTTTTGAGTGTATTTCTGGTCGGCAAAATGACTTTTATTGTATTATACGAAGCATATAAATTTCAAAAAATTCTGAAATGGACCAAACCAAATTCCAAACTAGTTTTTAAATATTTTTGTGTATAAGCTAAAAATTACAACAATTTTGACACCTATTTCAATAAAAAAAAACAAAAATATGCCGCTTCAACCCATTAAAAATCATTTTGTAAATATCTACAAAAATTTAAAAATTATTTTTAGCTTTTTGCGTTCGGATTCTATCGTGCTTTCAACAGACAGACGGACATACAGACAGAAGGATGGACAGACAGATGGGCGGACATGGCTATATCGTCCCATATAGGGGCTAGGCGAAATCGTGAACCGATATTGCCCATTTTCAATACCGAACAAACTGCATCAATATAAAATGTCCATGTAAAGTTTCAGCCTGCTAGCTACTTCCATTTAAACTCCATCGTGTTTTCAACAGACAGACGGATAGACCGACGGACATGGCTAGATCGTCTTAAAATTTAATAAGGATCCAGAATATATATACTTTTATGTGTCTTAGATGAATATTTCAATGTGTTACAAACGGAATGACAAAAACAATATACCCCCCATCTTTTTTGATGGTGGGTTTTTAAATATTTGTGATACTCGTTGCGTTTCAACCCTATCGTGTTTTCAACAGACAGACGGACATGGTTAGATCATCTTCGAATCTAATGAGAATCATGAATATACATAGTGTCACCTTTTAATTTTAAAAATGTTAGATAGGGCTGTTTGCTTTTTAGGTGACGATATATACTGTTATAGCTTTTATACCAATATTTTAATGTGTTACAAGCGGAATGAAAAAAAAACACGATGATGGTTATAAAAATATCCTGTGTCCTTTTATTTGATTAACCGACAAATTTTGAATTATCCGTTTATTAATCTGATAACAAATATTTATTTGGAGACTAAAGCGAATAATACAAAATAATATGGGAAGGTAGCCTCAGAATTCCTTATAGATCTTTTGTTTTGTTCTATATTTTCTAGTTTCACTTTAAAATAAAATAAGTGCTATAGGTCGTCAAGGAATATTTTGGGAAAGTTTCATCGTTCTTGACCCTTTTTTAGGAATATAATATCTTAGAATCGGACAAGTTTCTAAAAAAAATTTATATGAAATATACTTTTTGGAATAATATACAAGCGATATTTCGATACGTTACAAATGAAATTACAAAATTAATACACATCTTATCTTTTTGGGATATTTTTCTTCAAAAAGAATTTACCCTAATACACATTATCATAAGTGCATTTGCATCTTTTACGCAAACAATTCAATATGAATTTCCGCTCATTTCAACGATTTCATTGATATCTGTTTCTATTTATTTTCCAACTTCTTCACTCATGTCAAAACACTAATCCACAGCAGGCCTTTTACTATGGACGTTTGCCGGTGGCGCGTATGTTGCTGAATAAAAAAGCCAATATGGAAGCCAAAGATATTTACGGTTTAACTGCCAGTCACTTGGCGGTAGATGCAAATCAAGGTGAGATTTTAAAATTTGCACTTGAAAATGGTGCCAATATAGAGGCCAGAGATGCATGTGGCTGGACATTGTTAATGCGTGCAGGTAAGAAATTGAAAATAACAAAATTTTCATACAACAACTAACTGTATTGTAGATTGATACATAAATACATGTATGTGACTGCTTGTGTTGCATGTATCAGGAAACAGTTTAATTAAAACTTGAGATTTTAAATTTCTTTTCATTGCAGTGATTATGGCATCCGATTTAAGCATTTTAAAATTATTGGTCATTTGTGGTGCTGATATGGAGAGCAAAGATATGAATAATTTAAATTGTCTAGATTTGGCACGATTGTATGGCAATGACAAAGCTGCAGATTATTTTGAAAAAGTATTGACATTAAAAAAGGAAAAAGAACTGCAAAGTAAATATGAAAAAGACAAATAGTTTGTTAAAAATGGTAAACACAAGATAAGACAACAAAAAATTATATTTTATTTTTATATACAACGTACATTCCTTTCGGTCTGATAGCCGCAAGAATATGTATGAAAGAATTCTTGAGTATGTTTCAAACCTAAATAGAAAACATTTTCCGCAAGATCTTTACCAAACTCACAAAAGTTTTGGCCATATAAGGTAAAAAATATTTTGTTATTATTTAAATTATATTGCTTGAGAATTTCATTTTCTCTATCGAATATCTCCTGATTTTTAGCCGAGACAGCCCTCCAATCATTATAGTCAGCCAAGGCGTTGCGAAAACTTTTTAAATAGACCACAGCCAAAATGCGTGCTTCCTCCAGAACATTCACAAACTGTGGCAACTTTAAACATTCAACTATTTCGGCAAAACGTTTGGGTTCGTAATAGCGTTCAGTAGTATTGAACAGTGTCATCCAGAGGTGAACATTTAAAGTGGCATAATAATATGACATAGGCTTATTACGACTCTGATAGACATATAAACTCCAATCTAAAATCGTACGATGTGGACCGTACTCATAGGTGGAATTACGTTTGCGAAATATTTCCAAGTTTCTAATATTGTGTTGATAACTTTCCCGATACATTTTTAACGATTCATATTCGTAATCCAAATCACCCGTTCTGAAATAAATCTGTGGTGTTTTAAACTTTTCCTTAAGTGATGCTAGTTTTAAACGTATAGGATTTCTGCCAAAGTTCTCAGTGTCCTCAGCTTTCTTTACAAATTCTGTTAGTATTTCAAGAAAGTTATTATGTTCATGCGAAGCACTATCAATATAATTTTTTGTTATTATATAAACGAATAATGGTTTAAAATATTCAAAGGATTCACGATAGCAATCCTCTAGACCCTTTACAGTGTTGCAGGATATAAAGAAATCCATAAGTTTTTGTTTTGCTTCGAATTGGTTACTATCGTTTTGGAGTTCGGTTAAGAGTTGTATTACTTCATTTGTTTCGGGAAGATGTCCTGAAAAGAAAAATTTAATTAGTATTGAAGGTATTAAATTAATAAGTTCAGCTTCAGTGACCCTTGGGTTTTTAGGAACAACAACTTAATTACTTACCCAATATTGAAAATAATGGACGATTACGTCCACAAACATAATCAAAATAACTCTCACAAGCAAATTTATCCATGTCTATAGAATGCTCCAAACGTATTGCCATATTGTGTAACTCTTGGATGCGTAATTCTGACATATAACCCGTGTATGCGATTTGAGCATTTGACAGAGATAGAAAGTTCACAAGAACCAACAGCAATGCGGTGTTAAATAGTGGAAAAAGTTTCGTAGCAGCTGAACGGCGGTTGGAATACGCAACGTGATGATGCTGACGATGATGTTGACAAAGTACGAAAAATAAACAACACATGGTTATAATTTTCGGAAAAACTTCAAATGATAAATACTTTGCAGAATAGTAGTTGAACATGTGGTTGGCACCCTAAACCATCAAAATATCTAAGCAAAATATAAAAAAAAAAGAATTCAGCAAAATAAAACTTTTTTCCTTTTTAGTGATAAATTTGACTTTGATTTATTTGTACATTGCCAGTGGTGGGTGGTATGGTCTCCAAATAGAACTGTTCAAAGTTATACATACATACATATGTATAAAAGTTTTTGTTTATATTAGGTTTTGTACACTATTGCTATTTTTCCGCTTTTTTTTTTTTTGTGGGTCGAAATTTTCAAAGCGCGAATTTTTTTGTTTATATTAAAAACTTAAATAAAACTCTAGACGTGCAGTGAAATCTGTTTGTTGTGGTCCACAAGTAAACAAATGCTTCACAACGTCTAACTAAGATGAGTTTTAAAATAAACTAAATTATGCTAAATCTGTGAAATATTGTGTAAGGGCCTGTGGTTAAATGTATAGAATGGCGTAAGAGAGGGTAAGAGAGAATACTGCTTTAATATGGTCGCTGATTGTCAGTTTAAAAGTGATAACACTATCAGTTTTAAAAAATATATACGAAAGAAAATTAAACAAAAGCTTTTAATATTTCGAAAATTGTTTTTAAATTTTTATTGTTTGTGTGTGAGTATGTGCTACATGGAAATAAGAGGAGAGTTAGATTTTAGTATGATTTTGTAACGAAATATAAATTAGGGTCAAATCAAAAGGCCCACTTATAGGGCTGATTCCATTCAATAAAATAATCGTTTTTTCTTCAATCGAAATAACTAAACATTTATTAGTTAACAAAAGTCTCCTTTAAAAAATATATTTATAGAAATATTATAATTTCTGCTTAATATTACATACTATTAAAATTGATTATTGCTAAAAATTTCCAAATTTAAATTTTCAATATTTTTTGCTTCAACAGAACTACTTATAGTTTTTTATGAAATATGTATATTGCTTTTGTAGCAACCAGCGAAAAAGAAAAATGAAAAAACAATGAAGTAAAATAATCTGCATGCCTTTAAATTCATTTAGCGTGTTTTGTTTTACTTCTTTGTTTAATAGAAAAATATTGAAAAAATACGAAAAAAAACGAACAAAATCTTTAAAAAGAAAACAACATTACAAAATGTTATCATATTACACACAAACTCTGTATTTCATGTGTAAGAAAATGTAGTCAGTCATGGCCGACTTTATGATACCCTATATCTGCCACACCAAAGTGGTCAAATAGGAACCGATACTTATTTGCATTGAAACCTATGATGATTACACTGGTTTTTTGAAAGGCATTCTTTATATGTTCTGTAATAAGATAGCAATAGTTATTCTTACTTGTGATCAACGCAAAATTACAGTGCATTAACCGTGAAATAAAAATGGACTTAAGATAATATAACAAAATATTTATAAAATTAAAACTTGCCTTAAAAAATTTTAAAAAACATTTTATAAAATATAAATTTTAAGAAAAATTTTAAAAACGCAAACAAAAAAATCTTTTAAATTCAAAACACTGTAAATACTCGAATACAAATATTCTTTTATATCCTCCACCACCATCAGTGGTGATAGAGGGTATATATAACTTTGTCATTCCGTGTGTAACACCAAGAAATATTCATCAGAGACCCAACAAAGTATATATATTCTGAGTCCTTATCAAATTCTGAATCGATTTAGCTACGTCCGTCTGTCCGTCTGTCTGTGTAAAACACGCTCACGATAAAACGAAGCAATAGAGTTTAACCAAATTCACCCAAAATGTTCTTCATTTTCCTAAGTTGTTTGGTATTGAAAACGGGCAAAATCGGTTCACACCGGGAAAAGTTATGAATCAAAATTTAAAACAACCTCGAAAAAAATAAGCACATTTTACACATTCTGATGTAATTTTCTCGAAAACTATGCAAGATAATTCCATGAAAATTACCACACATTCGCTTCTATACAAGAGCTTGATCTCAGCTGAAAACTGCCAGAATCGGTCCACAATTTCATGTACCTCCCATACAAAAGTACATATTCCCGGAAAATGGGGTTTTTGTTAATAACTTCCGTCAGAATGTCGATATCTTCACAAAATCTTACAAATTAAAATTTTTTATCAATAGAATTGATTCACAGAAAAAATTTTCTGGATCGGTCCATAATTGGACATAGCTTCCATACAAGGTCCCATCCCGAAAATCATTTAAACGTGCATAACTCATTACTGAATTAAGATATCCATATAAAATTTGGTATAAGTATTGCCCATATGCATAGAAATATTATTGCGAAAGTTTTTTCCGATCGGTCCATAATTGGTCGTAGCTCCCATACAAGGTCCCCTCCCGAAAGTCGCTTAAACGCGCATAACTCATTACTAAATTAAGATATCCATATAAAATTTAGTACAAGTATTACTCATATGCGCAAAAATATTACTGTGAAAGTCTTTTTCCGATCGGTTCATAATTGGGATTTTTCTATTATGTGTACATGAGAAAACTTATTTCCACAAATATTTGATCAATTAGAAAAGTATTGATATAAAAGTAGCTGGTGGAGGGTATTTAAGATTCGGCTCAGCCGAATATAGCACTCTAACTTGTTGTTTTTAAAATTACATAACATTCTATGTGCACTTTTTTTTTGCTATGCATAGCAATAAAGTGCCGAAAAAAATCTATAATTTTCCCAAAAGTAAAGTGTTATATACCATTTACTTACAATGCGGCTCAGTGCACTTTATGCGCGCACAACCATGGAATACAGCTATACAAGTATATTAGTGGAAGGAAAATAAACTCATATATGAGCTATTAATAAAATATTTTAAATGATTTAAAAAAGATTAATGGCTTTTGAATTCAATTTTTTTTAATATTTGAATAAAATCTTATCTTCTTGGGATATGTTAGAATTCAGAAAATAATATAATATGTATGTATTTCACAGAAATTTTAAAATTTTTGTTATTTTTAACGATTTCATACCCACCATCAAAAAAGATGGGAGGTATATTGATCTAGTCATTTCATTTGTAACACATCGAAATATTGGTCATAGACCCACAAAAGTATAAATAGTCTGGGTCCTTATTAAATTCTAAGACGATCTAGCCATGTTGAAAGCACGATAGAGTCCGAACGGAAAGTGGTAGAGAGTTTAAATTTTTCACAATTATTCCTTATAGATAAGGCTTGTTTGGTGTTTTCGGATAGCACCATTCAAGTGGATCCCGAAAAACAGCTTTAACGGGTATAACTGCTTTAAAAGTCTAGCGATGAACCAAAATCTCTCTACCAAATTTTTTGTGGATCGGTCCAGAATTGAGCCTACACCCCATATTAGGCCCCCTTCAGAAAATGACTTTAATGCTCATTACTGGCTTAAAATAACGAGTATAGCGATGAAATTCGACATAAATTAATTTCTAACGAGCCAAAATCTCTCTACTGACTTTTGTGAGAATGGACATATGATTATCCCTAGCGTTAACACATCCAACTCCCAAAGTTTTATATGAACCAAAATCGGTGTACAAAATGTTATGAGGATTTGTCAATAATTGACCCTACCCATAATATAAGGTCCTTTTCAGTAAATTTGATGAGGAGGATTCAGAAAATTATGTGCGCTGCGATGAAAATCGATATAAAAAGTTTATACTTAGGAACATAATTCTTCATTGCAAATTTAATGAGGATTGATATATAGCAAACCTTAGACCCTATATAAGGTTTTCTTATGATACCCTTCACCAGTTATGAATATTCAATGTGATTTATTTTTCATAATAAAGCACTTATCTTCTATTACCTTGTTCCGATACATTTAAGTAATTTATGGATGAAAAACAAATTTTCTAAAAGAGGCTTTATATGGGGGCTAGGGGCAAATATGGACCAAGCCCGATAAAATTTAGTGAATATATTTATGTTTACATAATATTTTTTTGTGCTGAATTTCAGCGCGATATTTGTGCTTATAAGTTAATTTTGGACATTCAAGTGATTTTCTGAAGGGGACTTTGCTAGGGTCAAATGAGGCCCGATCTCTATGAAATTTGGCAAGGTCATCAAGGCTTGTATAAAACTTAGTTGTGCCGCTTTTTATCAATATACATGCCCAATAAGCATTTTTGCTGGAATTCAAGTGTAAATCAAATTTAATTCCAGTCAAACATTCAAATTTCAAGTGTTGAAATACACTTGCATTACACTTTAATTCAATAGCATTCTCCAGTGAAAAGGAAACTTGAATTCAAGTCGAACATTATAATGTTATTACAGTTTAATTCAAGGCTTGAATAACATTACAACTCGAATAGAAAAAATGCTTAAATTCAATCTTTGAAATACAGTTTAATTCAAACCTTGAATTTTAATGTAATTCCTATCGAAAAAGTAATTACATTCAAGCACCTATAATATACATATATGTATATATATTTATGTACATATGTATTAGCTGTAGGTGTAACATACTACCACATATCTTAAAATTTAACAGACATAATTAAGACATTTATTAATAATAAATAAGAAATGAATGAGGACAAAATTACATGCATATTTATACATTTTACATGGCAAAAACTTGTATAAAACATAATTTACAGGATCACTCTGTTTCTTTAACATTACAAATAAATCAGCAAAGATCTTGAAAGAACGCATCAACCAGAAATATTTGCATTATTCTATATACATTCGTGCCTATATCAAAGAATATTTTCTACATTAATCCCGTTTTGGGTTGGTTTAATCTGCATACATACCTTTTATTGCAATTGGATTCATTGGTTTTTATAAATTCTGACACCAACATTTGCTGTTCTATTTTGTTGCATTGAAGTAAAAATATGAACATTTTTATTATTAATATTTTTAATTTATTATTATTGAAGTAAAAATATGAACATTTTTATTATTAATATTTTTAATTTATTTTCAAGTTTGACAAGAAAATTTGGTTTGAAAACATTATTTGACTTTTACTTGAAAATAAAACTGGAATTAAAATTGAATTATAATTAAATTTCAAGCACTTGAATTTATAATTTTTGAGTGCTTATTGGGTGTATATTTAACATAATTATGAGCTCAGAAGCCCTTTTCGGAGGGTTCTGTTGTATGGGGGCTAGGTGATCATGGGGGGGCAAGATTATCTCGAAAATTGCGATCTGTACCTTTCGCACAAAGTTTACATGGACAGCCTGCCAGCCAGATGGGCGGACGGACATAGCTTAATCGATTCAGAAAACGATTCTAAGACGATTGGTATACTTTAAGGTGGGTATAGGACGAATATTTTTGTATGTTACAAACATCAGCACAAACCCAATATACCCTCCCCACTAAAGTGGTGTAGGGTATAAATAGCGATAAACGGTTAAGTATCGTTAAAAGGTCCCCTTCTGACAATTACTCTGACTGAACTGAAAATACGAGTAGAGCGATGAAATTCGAAACAAATAAGTATTAAATAAACCGACACCTTTCTATCAAATTTTGCGGCAATCGGTTTCAAAGTTTAACAAAACTATTTTTTAAAAGTAATGTTTTGTTAATTCAAAATAGCTCGGTTCACAATTGACTTAAGCCATATTCCAAATATCACCCTGATGTTTATATATAGATAGTATAAAACTTTTTCCCCTTTTATAACATTTTCTCAAAACAAAATTATTTTATAAATTTTCAATTTAACATAAGTCAATAGTTTAGCACATAAATATAATGTTACATTTGTTTGTTACAGAAATGTTAAACGGTACTATAAAGGGTTAAAAATATAATTTGTATATTTTTGAAGAAATCAAAAAAATCTAAATGATGCTGTTGATTTTGAAATGGTTAAAATTGAATATTTCACCTAGTACCCCGGACCTCACGATTAGGTCTTCGAAGGCCATTATTATATTAAATAATTATGATAGCTTAAATAATTTTATGAAACTTAAAAAATTTTTTGTTTGCCCATATTATGTAAAATTTATATAAAAGAAAAACTTTAAAAATGTATTCATAAAGTAGTGGGTGGTGGCAAATACCACTAGTGAGAGGAAGTAAAAATATACAAGTATAAGATATTTGCAATTTTATTAAACAAACACTTTTTACCAAAAAAGCAGGAATAACATGAAAAATTTAATAAAAATTTTCTAACGTTCAAACAATTATGATAAACTTTCAATATTGCATAGTAGCAGTAAAAATCATGAAAATTTCAATATAAAATAAAGCGGAATTTTTTTATGAAAATATTTAATTTTCACATAATTTTATAGCCACCAACAAAAAAGATGGGGGGTATATTGATTTTGTTATTCCGTTTGTAACACATCGATTAATTGATCATAGATCCACAAAAGTATATGTATGTATGAATATTGTCGGTCCGTATTAAAATCTAATACGATCTGCTATATCTGCGCATCTGTCTGTTGAAAGAAACGAATGTAGCTTGATCGTATTAGAAAATTATTCTAAGCCGATTGATATCCTCTAAGTAAGAGGACCAGTATATTTGTTCTACAAATATTAGCACAAACGTATAATATAATCAACACTATAGTGGTGTAGGATATAATTATATAATTATATAATATTTCATATTAAAACTTATACATATTAGAGCAGATACTCTTTTACAACTACAAATTGATGATACTTACATCAATAAATAACATTTAATAATACTCATATTTATAAAATATATGTATAACGTCAGTTTAATAACTTTAATTAATTTAAAATTATCTGAATAAAAGTTGTCTTAAAATCTCTTTAAAGAAAACAATAAATTTTATTTCTTCGTTGAACAATCACTATAGATACCTCACTGTAACTTGAATGTTATTTATTCTAAATGAACACCAAATGTGTCATAGAAAATTAAGATATGGCCAGATATTTTATTAAGATTTTAACACTTTTATCTAAATGTGTCTGCATTCACAAAAGTTTTCACGTTTTCAAGCCTTTTATATAACTACAACAATGTACAAATTTTCACTTAACAAAATTTGTTTATTACACAAAATCTAAACAGACTTGACAGTCTGTTTATCCCTTATTATCTAAATCACTTCCATTCAATACTGACAAATCCTTTTTATTCATTTTCTGTCAGTATACAATAAAAGGTTACTAACATTCAAGGAAACTTATGGTAGTAAATTCTAAGTTAAGCACCTCATTAAAACGATAATCAGAGAAAAAAATGATAAAAATAAAGTAAAAAATAACTTTGCTCATATATGTATGTATATATGCCTACTTGTTCAAGTATTTATGTAAGTCTAATTCTTTTATATTCTTGGCCCAGATTTTATGTTTTTGTGTATATATTTTTAAAAAAATATTTCCAAATTATAGCACCTGAACAGTCACACTCTATTCACAATGTTCATACAGACGTACAAATAACGAAGGGTTCAAGATTGATTTTCATCACATTAGAAAATGATGTTAAGGTGATAGAGTGTATAAAGGAATGAATGCAGGCCATGTAAGCAAAAAAAAGCAAATAATCACATTTACAAAGAAAGATTTTTCAGTCTTATTTTTCATTGAAAGAATACAATTTCTGAATGATTTTTAGATCTCGTAAAAATTATGGTGAAATTTATTTTTTATTAAGAATAAATTAAAGGGCTTCCAGAATTGGAACTTTTCTGAAGAATTTTATTATCGTCGAATGCATATACATAAAAACTTCGAATGCAATCTAGATACTTACTTCGATTGGAACTTAATAACTTTTTCACTATTTTAAAGTCAAAATCTTGTTCGTCGATCAAACTACTGGTCGTAATTTTGAAGGTAATTAAATGAAATTTGGCACATAGAATACCTATCAAACGATGCGTTTTAAATTTTTGTAGAGGTAAATACTAACAAGTCAGAGTGTTATATTCAGCTATGCTGAATCTCATATACCCACCATCAAACCGTATGCTCCCCTATAAACATCACGGTATACGGCTTAAGTCAATTATGGACCGAGCTCTTGTGGATTAGCAAAATATTTATTTTTAAAAACAAAAACAATATTTAATCAAGTTTTAAACCATGAACACACATAAGCATATGGACAGTAGGGTCAATGGACCGATTGTCGTCAAATTTGATAGAAAGGTTTCGGTTCGTATAATACTTATTAGTTTCGAATTTCATCGCTCCACTCGTATTGTCGATTCAGTCATGAGCTTAAGAGTAATTTTCGGAAGGGGACCTTATGTATGGGTAGGGTTAATAATGAACCGATACTCATTCACTTTGTACATAGATTTTGTTTTGTATAGAACTTGTTTATGTCGAATTTTATCGATATACTCGTATTTTTAAATAAGGAATATGCAAAAAACTTTTTTGAAGGGAACTTTATATAGGGCCTAGGGTCAGTTATAGATCAATTCTTATTAACTTCGGAATGAAGAATTATGTTTCTAAGTACTCGTAATTTGTGGAATACTACTCATCAAATTAACTGAAGATCACTTTATTTGAGGTGTTTGGTCAATTATTGACCGAACCTCATAATATTTTTATTTCAGTAATTATCGTTAAACTAATTTTCTGAAGTGAACCTTATATACGGGGTAGGTATTATATGCCGATCCTCACTAAATTTGGTAGAGAGATTTATAGCTTTACTCGTACCTTTAAGTCAGTAATGAGCGTAAAGTCAGTTTCTGAAGGAACCTTATATAAGGATAGGACCGATCCACATAAAATTTGGTAGAGAGATTTCGGCTTGCAAGAAACTTACTTGTGTATTTGTATTTTTTAAGCCAGTTAAAGTAATTTCCTGAAGAGACCTTATATGAGGGGTATGGTCAATTATTAAGCGATCCACATAAAATTTAGTAGAGAGATTTCGGCTCGCAAGAAACTTACTTGTATATTTGTAGTTTTAAACCAGTAATGGGCGTTACAGTAATTTTCTGAAGGAGACCTTATATGGGTAGGGTAATTTATGAGCTGATCCTCAAAAAATTGGTAGGGAGATTTTATGCCAGTAATGAGCGGTAGGGTCAATTACGGGCCGATCCGCATAAAATTTAGTATAGAGATTTTGGCTCATATGAAACTTAATTTTGTCGAATTTCATCGGTATACTCGTATTTTTAAAACCGTTATGTTCGTTAAAGCTGTTTTTCGGGGATCCATTTGTATAGGGGCTATCCGAAAACGTAGACGGATATTGCCCATTTTCAATACCAAACAAATCTTATCAATAGATAATATTTATGCAAAATTTCAACTGTCTAGCTCCTGCCGTGTGCACCCTATCGTAATTTCAACAGACAGACGGACGGACATGGCTAGATCGTCTTAGAATTTAATAAAAACACAGAATATACTTTGTGGGTCAATGACCAATATTTCGATGTGTTACAAATGGAATGATAAAATCAATATTCCTACCATCTTTTTCATGGTGGGTCTAAAAAATGTTAAAAATATTTTTTTTGGAAAAAGGCCTATTTCCCTACTATCGATTGAAATTATTGATCTCAGTAAAATATGTTCAAAAAATTGTCTACAATTTTTTCGAAGTAAGTCTCAAAAATTCCCCAATTTTGAACTTATCGCGAGAAATAAAATTAAAATGTTTTTAGAGCATTTCTGGTCCGCAAAGGATAAGATAATAGAAATTTCTGCTTTAGCTTCTACATATATTTCTAGTATCTCAGTAATTTACTGGCTGGTTGAATAAACGCTTCAAATATGTGTATATATATTTATTTTAACTATTAAATATATAATAGTGCACATTTACGACATCTTTGGTTAAATATATAAAACAGTGAATAAAAAAGCTTTAAAGCTTATTTTTTCTTATCAGCAACAAATAGCACTACTGCTTCTATAAGTAACAGCAAACACTTGAAATTAAATTTCAGCACTAACAAATCTCAATAAAACAGCAGCTTTTTCATAAACAATACATTGTTAGCTACTCAATAGACTGTATAAGTGTTATATATGAAACGGCAGCTTTCAAAATCTAAATGAAAGAAATAAATAAAAAAAATATATATTTTAGAAATTACACCACATTTATGGGCTATAAACTGAAATACGTACTTAATAATAAAAACTCAAGACAAAAGAACTTACAAATACAAAAAGAACACAAAACAAAACGAAAAAATCTATGTACTAATTACCGCCATAAAATTGGCCAAAGATGCCTCATAAAAACCGGCTTTAATAATTGCTTCACGTTGCGACCGTAACATCAACAAGACCAACATGCGACGATGTGCTGGCTTCAAATTATACCAATTTGATAGTTGTACTGAAATACCAACCATGAGACTCTAATTTATGAAATATAAAGAAAATGCAAGAGGGAAAGAAAGTTTATGTTTTTATGTATTTGTAAATAGAATGGGAAGAAATGTTTGCATTCCTCAATAAATTAAAATAACTACGGAAATTATATTTGTGTGAGAAAACGGAAATGTTGTGTAAATAGGAAATAGGAGGGGCATTTTAGAAGTTGTTTAAATTTTAATAAGCAACTTATTTAAATTGGAATTCTTTTAGCTTTTAACATTGTTTTTCAAAAATATAAATTTATAAATTTTAATAAAAACTCTTACCTCTAATTTAAGAATCTCACCGCCATAACAATATATGAAAAGTTGCAATAAAATTGAAGTCAAAAATGTACAATTTATAATTAACACCAAAATTGTATCCATATGCTAAAGAAATTCATAAAAAAATGTTTTTTTAATTATATGATAAATATATAACGCTTGTTTTATACCGACCATTATTAAATGCATTTGTGTATTAGGTATTCTCTGGGACCTTATTAGATACTAAAGCGAAATTGTCATGTCCGTATGTTAAAATCACTATAAGGTCCAAAAGAAGCTAGAGGTCTGATATTGATTAGACTTGTTAGGTATTGAAAATGGGCAGTATCTAAAAAACGACCCCTACATAAATTTTCTTAAAATTGTCTTAACTTAAGATCACAAGACTTTTTATTAGAGCTTGAGAAAAATATGGACCGATCGTCATAAAATTCGTTAAAAGCAATTATGTATACTTAAAACTTATTTATGTCGGATTTCATCACTATATTGACATTTTTAAGCTTTTTATAAGCGTTAAAGTCATTTTCTTATATGGACAATAGGGTCAATAATGGACCGAGTAACATAAAATTTGGTAGAAAGCTTTTGGTTTTTATGCAACTAGTTTGTATCGAATTTTATGTCTGTTATTTTTATGCCAGTTATAAACATTAATGTAATTTTCTAATGGGTACCTTATATGGGCGATAGAGTCAATTATTGACCGATGCTCCTAAAATTTGGTAGAAACATTTCGGCTCCTATAAAACTTGTTGTTAGAAATTCATCACTATACAGGTATTTTGAAGTCTGTTATGAGCATTGAAGTAATTTTCTGAGGTAGATGGTCCAATAAATTTTAAACTTTGTTTTAATACTTTCGAGAGAGTCATACCAAATTTCAGGGCCCTACGTGCCTTCTGTGATCATTCCGCCTATAGTGAGCTGGTAGGGAACTGATGCCATCTCCAAAAAATATGTTTAAATTTTCTCGTATTTAGTAATTATTTAGGGCATAAAAAGCCCAAATTATGGCATAAAAAGCCCAAATCGGGAGGTACGGTTGTATGGGGGCTAGGTGAAATAATGGACCGATTTCAACCATTTTCAACAGTCTTCGTCCCTGTGCCAAAAACATGTTTGGACAAGGTTTACATGGACAGCCAGCCAGCCGGACAGACGGACGGACATGTCTTAATCGACTCAAAAAGTGATTCTGAATCGATCGGTATACTGATGTGTGTGTTATAAACATCAGCACAAACGTATAATACCCTCCCCACTATAGTGGTGTAGGCTACAAAAATATTTGTGCAAAATTTCAGTTCTCTAGCTCATCCCGTTTGGACTCTATCGTGTTTTCAACATACAGACAGATGGACCGACAGACGGACGGACATGGCTAATTCGTCTTAGAATTTAATAAGGACCCACAATATGTATACTTTTGTGGGTCTTAGAACAATATTACGATATGTTACAAATGTAATGACAACAAGTAAAAAGTATAGTCGGGCGACCATATGATACCCTACACCAGTTATGAGTATATCTAAAATGTGTATTATTTTCAATAATAAAGCATTTATGTTGAATTTTTCCTTAATTTCGATATATTTTTGATGAACAAATATTTTCTGATGGAGACTATATATGGGAGCTAGGGGTAAATTATGAACCAATCCTAACAGAATTTGGTGGAGGAATTTTTGTTGACATTAAAGTTAATTATACCGAATTTCATTGTAATTTAGAAGTTTATATGGGAATTAATGACGTTCAAGAATTATCAGTTGGGTCAAAAGTAATGTGTTTACCAAATTTCATCCAATTTTCTTCAAAATTGCGACCTGTAGTTGATTACAGACGGACAGACAGACGGACGGACATTGCTCATTCGACTCAGAAAATGAATCTGAGCCGATTGGTATACTTCAAGATGAATATAAAACCATTAATTCTATGCACAAATCCAATATACTAATACACCACTAAAGTGGTGTATGGTATAAAAACCATATACCCCCATCTTTTGTGATGATGGGTATAGAAATAGACCGTTTAGCTTTTACCGTGTGGTACTTATTTTCCACTTTAAAACAAATATACATACATATGTATGTTTGAATATCAGTACTTACTGTTACCATTTGATAAACAATCACACACACTTGCAATGAAGTCATCAGAAATTGTCCAAACACTATGGGACTATAAATATCACGTAGTTCATTATATAAACTTAATATTAAATTATGATATTCAATATAAGACTTCAGATCTTTGTGTAGTTCTTCGTCGGATTTTAAAAATGTATTATTTTCAATAGATTTTTGTAGTATTTTCAAATGTGATACTAAATTTATCGCAAATGATACAAATAGGCCATCAGTGGCTACAGCATACATAACAACAGATAGAGTTACTAAACCAGTATAGATATAGGCAAATTCGTAACCTGGAAATGTCTCAAAATCGAAGGCAAATCTGAAAAAGGATCGTTTTAATGATTTAAATGTTATTAGGAATCATTATATTCATAAATTTTCTTTAACTATATTTATATACGTTAATATTAGTTTAGCACATTTTCTAATTTCTAATGCTTACCTCATAGGCATGGGTAACTCCCATACGGCATTTGTATTACGAAATTTTGACCATAAAATTTTTAGGACTGGAGACATCATAAAATAGGTGCCAGTGCTGCAAACAGACATCCAATAAAGTTTAACCACCATAATAGCTGAACGATTTGCAGTTTCTAAAATTGTTTTGGCAGCTGAATCTTTCACTACCAAAATAATACAAAATAAGTAAAGAAAAGAATTTGATTAATTAGTGCAACATTAAAAAAACAATGTTAAATAATTTACTAAAACACTTCCTTTTTTAATGCTATTAATAAAACTATGTTGTAAATATGTATGTGTGTGCGAGAATGTATTGCTAAATATGTAATACTTACATTCCTGATACATAGTTTCCAACTTTGTCATCAAAGCAACAAAACGCCATTTATAGCTAAGAAATGTTGTAATTTTTATTACAGTCAGTATGTTGGTGAAACAAATACTTAAACTTGCCGTTGCCAATTGCAAGTTGTCAATATAATAAATGGCATAATTTATCATGGGCCATTGGGCCGACATGACCAACATTAGGACACCAAAATATACAATGTTGCGCCATTTCCTTAACAACACCGATTTATCACGTACAAAATGATGACCCATTATACGCAGGCACTGTCTTTGTCTTCCAAATAAGTCTATCATTTTCAATGGATGAAATCTCCAAAAAAGAAACTAAACTAAAAAGATTTCTTTGTTTTTCTTTTGGGCGTTAAGACAACAATTCGTGTCCAAGTTAAGTATAAGACAATTAAAGGCACACAGAAAATAAATAAGTTAAGATAAATAAATTCCTAAGACCTCAAAGATACTTTAAGTTGTTTGTTTGTTGGCCTAACAGTATTTGCTGACTGGCAGCAAATTCTGAATGAATAATTGTCAACATGAATGGGTGGGTATTGTTTTGCAGTCTATTGACAGTAAATAGTCAATCCTTTTATTTAAATTTTTTTGGTTTGTTTTATGTTAAGGTTGATAATAATGGGTTATTGTTTATATTAATTACTGACAGTGATATTAGAAGAAAAACGAATAAGTGGGTGAATGTTAAATTTATTGTAATACAAGTACGAGTAAATTGTTTTTATATTTTTTATAGTTGTTGGATCAACAACCATCAAACCGTTTAACCTAAAAGGAATGCTCTCCTATAAACATCAGGGTCATATTATTTATTAAATCTACTGAAGAGGACCTTATATGAGAGGTAAGGTGAATTATTGACCGTTTTTCATAAATTTTTTTAGACCGATTTTGGTTCATATAAAACATGTTTACATCGAATATCAGTTCACGACACTTTCCGCATGAAACTCGTTAGAAATATTTACGTTCCTATAAAAGTTACTTAGGTTTTGGCTACTAAGAAACTTACTTATGTCAAATTTCATCCTTTAATCGTACTTTTAAATTAATAATGACCTTATATTGGGGGTAGGGTCAATTATGGACGGATCCACATAAAATATGCTAGAGAGGATTTTTGTCAGTCGTTTTTTAAGGGAACCTTATTTGAGGGTATGGTCAATTATAGGCCGATCCAAATCAAATTTGATAGAGAGATTTTGGCTCGCATGGAACTTATGTGTGCCGAATTTCACTATACTCGTATTTTTAAGAAAGTAATTAGCTTTAAAGTGATTTTCTGAAGGGGACCTTATATGGGGGTAGGGTCAGTTATGGACCGAACGTCAAAAAATTTGTTAAGGAGATTTTGGCTCATATGAAACTTATTTGTGTCGAATTTTATCGCTATACTCGTACTCTTAAAACAGATATGCCCGTTAAAGCAGTTTTTCGGGGGTCTACTTGTTTGGGGGCTATCCGACAATGTGGACCGATATTGCCCATTTTCAATACCAAACAAACCTTATCTATACAGAATATTTGTGGAAAATTTCAACGCTATGACTCATTCCGTTCGGACTTTATCGTGATTTCAACAGACAGACGGACGGACATGGCTAGATCGTATTAGACGCAGAATATATATACTTTTGTGGGTCTATGACGGAATGACAAAATCAATATATCACCCATCTTTTTAGATGGTGGGTATAACAAATAGGAAAATTTAGTCGGGCATGACCGACTATATGAAACTCAATACTATGAATATATTTTAAAATTTATTTATTTTTCATAAAGAAACTTTTATGTTGAATTATACATTTTGCAATTTATTGATGAAAATCAAAATTTTTAAAAATGGCTTTATAAGGGAGTTAGTATCAAATATGGGCAGATCCTCAACAAATTTTTTATGCAGAATCGCGATACTAATGGTAATAAGTCAATTTTTCGACGTTTCGAATATTTTTTAAAGGGGGGTTTGTATGGGGGCTAGGATCAGACGGCGGCCGATCAGTATTGGTCATTTATGCCAATATAAATTTAGTTGTGCGAATTTTTGGAGAGATAGTAGTATATTTGACGTAGTTATGAGGTAAAATAATGGACCGATTTCAATCATGTCATGACATGTCTTAAGTGATTTTGAGTCGATCGGTATACTTTAAGGTGTGTGTAGGACCAATAATTTTGAGCGTTACAAACATCAGCACAAATGCATAGCACCCTCCCCACTATAGTAGTGTAGGTTATAATAAAAAAATTTTAATTAAGTATCGGACACAGACCATACTTTCACTCCATTCCAAATAAGTGCTTAAAAATTAATTACAAATATGTATTAAGTTGTTTTCTTTGGCTTAAAATAAAAGCCGATGAAGATACGATCTTGGTTCCCTATTCACACACAATTTCTATTTTATTTTTTTGTTTGTGCAAACTCACATTCACTAAAACAAAATGTCAAAATCTCGAAATATATCTAAATCATTACTAGCCACTTAAAAGTAATTTATATGATTTAATCATTGAAAATTAAGTTGTTGAAGTTTTTGCTCGACTTATTTTATTAACCTTACGAATATTTTAATAAATATCATTTTCGATACTTCCTTAACTTAATTATCCGTTAACCCACCTAACAACAGTGCCTTGTAAATTACTATTTATTATTACAATGCTGTCATTAACAAAAGTCAATAGTAATAGAATTCCTATTCCCATAGATATAGCAATATGTAAGTATATAATTGGATACTTCGGTTGACTTTTAATACTTATTATGATAACAATGTGACACTTTAATTATTAACAAGAAACCAGAAAACTCTTAAACACACATACAAAATTAGAGGACTAGAAGAACTGTAAATTAATAAAATACAAAATATATATTTAAAACATATTAAATTTCACAGCACACTTTAAAGAAATCTCAACAATTAATCATAAGCCAGAGACAACCTTCAGCAATTGAACTAAACAATAGGCATACATAAGTACCCGTACTTAACAATCTTTTGTGAACAACGTTGGCACAGGTAAAAATATTCATTAATTTAATGCCGCATCTTTGTAATATTACTGTTTTAAATTATTTTTACTATTGGTGTGGTCACAAATCTGTCGTAAGCCAAATTACTTTCTTTTAATTTATTTCTCTTTCAATACTATGACTGAGTCAGTTGGCCATTGACAAAATACAAAACAAAAGCATCAATCTTTGTGCCATTCAAGTGTTGTTTGATGATGCTTAAAATGATAAATATATTTTTTACGAGATTATATCTACGTTTGTTGTTTAAATGCTTACAATTACTAAACTTTTAAGGTGTCATAAACTGGTGTTTAATGGTGAAGTGTGTATTTTTTTTGGTTCATATAAACGCGTCTAGCGCGTGCTTCAGCTTTATTTTCTTGTTCAACTTTTAAATTATTTTTAAAACTTTAATTCCTCGAATTTCTTTTTTTTCAAATTAATTGAAATTAAAAATAGTTTATTTAAAGAAATGTAGTAATGCTACAAAATAAACAATATTATTATTCCTAAATTTGTATCCCAAAATTATTTATAACAAATGAAAATGGTGGACCTTTTATGGGGGGGGGCAGATTCAATTATCAAATGTGTTAAAAAAATTTTGTTCTTATAAAACTTATTTATGATGAATTTCATTACTTAACCCAGTAATGAGCCTTCAAGTCATTTTCTGAAACGGCCTTATAAGAGTCTACGGTTATGGTCCGATTTCTGCCATACCTCACAGTATAATTTCTGGGTGTATAAAACTAACTTATGCAAAATTTTATAACGATTGCTTCATAATTAACTAATTTTTGACTCTCTAAACTGTATTCCGGAATGCCACCTGTATGGGGGCTATAAACCTTATTAATGTAGAATAACTGCGTCAAATTTAAAATATTCTATCTCCGGTGGACCTCTAAATTTCTTTCAACAGACAGACGGACGGACAAGACTTAATCGTCATAGAATTTAATAACTTCCCACAATATATACATATGGGAAATTTCGTGACAATTGACTTGGATAAAATATGCATCGGACAGCAGACCAGACACAAATTTTGAACTCTAACGGTCTAGAACTGCCACACAGTGGTATAGGAAAAAAAAATAGGGAAATAATTCGGTAAATTCTAAACGGTTGATCCGATTTTAATGAAATTTGGTATGCACAAAGAGGAGGTGTTGTCGAGTTTAGGTTTTGAATTTGGCGAACCAGGGCCCGGCGGGGGGTCCTCAAATTAGGACACCTCGGCTATGTTAAATTTTTAAAACGATCCTATTTCTTCATTTGAGTTCTGATTTAAAAAAAATTTCGTAGAATCTCCTCATCGAGCACTATAAAAAATGTCGTCGTAGCAGTAAATTATTTCTTATAGTTTAGGAGATATTCGCATTTGAAAATTAAAATTTTTACCGTCCTTACTTTAGTTTTTTGATAATAGCGGGTCCAAATATTCCCGATTTTCGCCATTTTTTTATTCGCTTAACAACAAGTTTATATATCAATCAGTGAAAGAATTATGTAAAAATCATGACTGAGTCCAAAGTTATAGGCATTTTACTTTAAAAAATTAACAAAAGGCGATTTTTTGCCATTTTTTGGGAAAAAAATATCTTTTTCTTTTTAAGTTATCTAAAAAGTTTCTAAGAAGATGTAAATAGAATTTATACTTTTTGGAAAGCTGACTTTACATAAAATATGATAAATGAAACAAAACCTAAAAATTTTTGATACCGAGGGGACCAGGTCCATCCAAAAAAACCCTAAAAATTTTAAAATTTTAATTTTCAAATGCGAATATCTCCTAAACTATAAGAGATAATTTACTGCTACAACATTTTTTATAGTGCTCGATGAGGAGATTCTATATACGAAATTTTTTTTAAATCGGAACTCAAATGAAGAAATAGGATCGTTTTAAAAAATTTAACATAGCCGAGGTGTCCTAATTTGAGGACCCCCCGCCGGGCCCCTGGTTGGCCTATAAGGTCCAAATTCAAAACCTAAACTCGACAATACCTCCGCTTTGTGCATACCAAATTTCATTAAAATCTGATTAACCGTTTAGAAGTTACCGAATTATTTCCCTCTTTTTTTTCCTATACCACTGTGTGCCAGACTTAGAGGGTCTCAAAGCTGGACATATTGGCCACACAGGTTTTTATTCAAATGTGTGTAACTTTTCTCGTAGAAATTGTCCAGAGGAGTTCAGATAGCTATTTTTTCATTGTTTCCATTTTTTTTTTTTTTTTTAATTTTTAAA